TCTTCTTTCTTCTTCTTTCTTCTTTCTTCTCCTCCTCCCTTCTTCATCTTCTTTCTCCTTTCTTCTTCCATATCAAGCCCAGGGGCCACCGAGCTAAATCCCCAATCCTGGTAGGCATTTCTTAATCCAATGAAGTTGACAGGTGAGGATTAATGGGCACATATTCAACGTGTACTGATCACATTGGAGTAAATAGTATATACATCACCTCAAATGTTTATCTTTTTGTGGTGATAGTATTCAAGATCTTCTCTCCTAGCTGGTTTTTTTTTTTGTTTGTTTTTTTGTTTTTTTGTTTTTCTCCGGTACCAGGAACCGAACTCACGACCTTGCGCTTGCCAGGCAGGCGCTTTTGCCGCTGAGCTAAATCCCCAGCCCCTCTCCTAGCTGGTTTTAAATGAGCATCTACCTGGTCTTGGATAGGTTCCTTTTCTTCTCTGAGTCTCTGTCTCTTCTAAGGTTTAAATATGGTATATAGTAGGTTTCCAATATCTCTGTTTTTCAAAGCTATGGAGCCCTATTTTCAAACAAACCCTAGCAAAAACTCCTATATTGCATAGAAATAAAGGCCAAGGTACTCTGTGGTTGCTGGTGGGAGTGGACACCACTCAGAGTCCTGACTGCTGCGCCTCAGCTGTGCCCATACAAGGAAGCATGTCTTGGAACCACTGTGATTATAAACAGGATAGTCCCTTATGTAGGGAATGGATAGTAGTGGATTCTGGTGAGGAAAAAAGATAAGGCCTAGAACTTGGCTGGACCTGTGCAGTCTAGTGCAGGGTCACACTGTAAGGCATCTCAGGAGTTAATAATTAAATTCCTGCCAGGTGGAGAGAGGAGAGTACAGTTCTGGGCAGAAGGCTCTTTTGAAAAGGCTTACTTCATCTCTCCCTCTTCTAGTCTTAGGTTGAGCTAGTGCTGTCCCCTGCCTCCCCTAGCAACTTTGCAGCTTCTGTTTGTCTCTGATCTTCAGGTGAGGACTTCGAGGTTGGCAGTATCACTTCTGTCTTTAGCAATCGTGCAGTTGTAAAATACAGTCGTCTGGAGGATGTGCTGCATGGCTGCTCTTGGACCGTCAACAACAAGCTGGATGGGACGTACCTACCCCTGCCTGTGGACAGGATCATCCAGCGTACGAAGAAGATGATCAACAAGATTGTGCAGTACAGCCTGATCGAGGGGAACTGCGAGCACTTCGTTAATAACCTCCGATATGGAGTGTCCAGGAGCCAGCAGGTATGGCCCCTGCCTTGTTTGTGGCTCCTAGCGCGGAGCTTTCTTGGGCTCTGTCAGATCCTCAGTCACCAGAACAGCCACTACTCATCTCACCATGTTGCTTGCTGTGCTAGAGGGCTTTCTGTTCCTACAGGTCTGTGTGGTTCAGGGGGCATTTACACTCCCATTCCCCTTAGAGGAGTAGAAAAAGTACCGGCCTAATACGAAGCCCGCCTAGTTGGAGTATGAGCTTCGTCATTCCTGAGGGTGGTCTCCTTGGCAAGGGTGCTGTTTCTGAGACTGTTTCTTTCTTTACAAAGTGGAGATAGATGGAGGCAGGTACTTTGTCATAAGGATTGCAAACTTACAGCCTATGGGCTGTATCTCAGATATACTATTATTTTTTGAGTTTGAGTTATTTAGCAACTTTAAAAAACAAAAATTTTACAGAAAAAGACCTGTATTTCCAGCTTTTCTTGAATGACTAATGAATCAGGCTGTTGGGCCACCGTTCCTGCATCTGGCGCTGTCATGGCCATGCTGTGTCTCTGTGTGCCGTGGGGCCATGGACCACCATTGCTCCCCTCACACCTACTGGCCTCATCTGTGCTGTGCTGGGGTCCCTCCTCCCTCATGAAGGGCAGAGATAAACTAAATGTGGTACACACAGTGCATGTGAAAGAGCCCCGGAAGCCTGCGTCCCTGTAACAGTTCGGGATGCTCTTGCTAATGGGGGAATCTGTGTTAAAACTCCATGCCGTGAGCAAAAGAAGTATATATTGCAAATAGGTGAAAGAAACTGAAGGTGAAAGGTGGAGTGTACTCTTTCTGTGGGTCTACCTCTATTTTTCTTAAGTTTCATGAACAGACTGGGCTCACACCCCACTCTTTGTCTCCCCACTACTGTTTGCACCTCTCAGTGAACAATGGCAGCTTCTACCCACTCCCTTTTCCCCTTTGGTTTCTGCATCTTCCTTGTCAGTGCTCGGCACCCTCCACTTGCCATCCATGTGAGACCTTGCACCAGGCCCAGGGGTTTGGTAAGCACTGATATTTTTCTGTGAAAAGAAGACCCAAGATTCTAGAGCATAATTGGGTAAAGCCCTGGGCCCAGCAACCACAAGGCACAACCCAGAGCTGAGTTTGGATACCAACGCACTGTGTGATTCTGTTCAAGTTGATTTCCCTGATTCAGAGTCCCTTTTGTAGAATAAGGGCCTCAGAGGCAGAGGCAGATACTTTGTAGAGTACCTACAAAGGGTCCTCTGCCCTGGGGTGGAGCCTGTGTGAATGGCTCTGGGGAAGAAAAGGACCAGGAGCCCCAGATGCCTGCTGGGGAAGGGAGCTGGCTGCCTTGGAGGTCTGTCTCCATCATCCTGGCTTTGCTTGGTCTGCAGCCCTAGGATTTTGGAAAGAGAGGGCAGCACAGGCTGGCTGCTCCTCTAGGAGAAGACTCCGGGCAGGCTGACTCATGGAGGGAAATGGTGGGATGGTAGGGGGAGGGCAAGCAGGGACTACCCTGTTGACTGATGTGCTTTGCAGGTGGAGCATGCCCTGGTGGAAGGAGTGAAGGCAGCAGGCGCTGTGATCTCAGCGGTGGTGGACAGCATGAGGCCCAAAGCGCTAACTGCCCGAGGTGCTGAAAGTGTTGAGTAGGGAAGAGCTCCTGAAGAGAACGTGCCATTGTCCTCCCCTGCCCTCCTCTTTCAGTCAGTGTACTTAAGAAAACTGTGAGCTTCTGGAAAAATCTAGAATGTATCAAATTACTCTTCTGTCAATACATCCAATATATGAGACCCATGGACCCAGAGGAGTGGAAGAACTGATATCTGTTGTATACCTATCATGCTCCAGACACTGTAGGTGTTTCATACATTTGCTTAACTTTTCTCACTGTAGGAAGAAGCCTGGCTGATTTCTTAGGCTTCTAGCCCTTGGTGTTACAGCTCTGGCTGTGGGCTCCCATGGCTGTCAGTGTTTGGGCTTTTAGTACCTCCCAGATGCCCCATCAGGGCTTGGCAGCAAAGGGTCCTTGTCCCCGTGGAAGCTCTCTGCAGTTCTCCCAGCAGTTCATACTGCTTCTGGAGCTCTCTGCAGGTCTCCACTTGTCTCTGCCAGATGCTGCAAAATTGCCACCATTGTTAGTCAACACCCCTGGCTTTCACCACCTCCAGTTTTTGTTCCTGGTCCTCAATGCTGTTCAATGCTCATTGATGCCGGTCACTGCTGGTTGATGCTACCCATCTTTGCTGGTCTTTATTGGTTGCTGATGGTCTCTGGAACCTGTGGGCCAGTAGGCCCTAGTGCTTATAATCCCTTTTAATGTGACCTGCTCTGGCCACACTATCCAAGATAAAAATGTTGGGTAGATTTACAAGACGTTGCAGGCATTCTGAGAAATGAATCATGAGCAGGACCATGGAGCAGTGGCGCTGCAGTATGGGAGTCAATGTGCTGGAGGAGCCTCTTAGGCCAACCCAAGGAGTGTGAGGGGTGCTGCTTACATGCAGGAGCAGTGGGCTCTTGCTGTTTTGTACATTTTGTGGGCCAGGGATTGGTCTAAGTTCAGCCCTGCCATGGTGTCCTCTGGGACTGGGGTTAATTCAAGCCTGCTGCATCAAGGAAGGCATCTGGAGTAGGTATAGGGTATCCAGGAGAACTGCAGCTGTCCTGCTGACAGTTCAGTGGAACGTTAGAAGAAGCAGCTCCTTTACTGACAGCTGCCACTTCATGAAAATAACAAGGCTGAGATGGTGACTGGCTCAGCTTTTCAGGAATCTCCAGGAGGGCCTGCCATGCTGCTCATTGTTCACTGGGCTTGGGGATTTCACGGGTAACAATACTGGGTCCCAGACCCCTCCTGGTCTTAATCTTATCAAGGGCAGTTTCCCACTACTTGAGCACTGCAGTGGTCAGCTGAGCTGTGCCTGTCAGTTCTGCCTGGAGAGTAGCCTGTGTTTTTGTTTTTGTTTTTTCCGGTACCAGGGATTGAACTCACAACCTCGCACGTGCAAGGCAGGCGCTGTGCCGCTGAACTAAATCTCCAGCGAGAGTAACCTGTGAAGTAATATCAGAGGTAGTGGAAGACACTGGGCCATTTGCCCAGTCCCTCCTTAGGGGCCAAGGGACAGCAAGGAGGAGGCATGTGGCAGCTGGTGGTTGGAACATACCCACTTCTGCTCAGTGGAGGAGGAAGAGGGAAGAGCTGGGCAGTTTCGTGTTTATCTCATTACCTCCAAGTTTTCTGTAAGGCTGTGAGCACTGGAAAGCACATTTCACATCTTGAAGATGAGAGTAAAGGATTCTTAAAGTCTTTTAAAGAGATTAAAAGCATTTTCTTCATTCTAGAGTAGACACTAAAATTTGTGCTTGGAGGAAATCCAACATGGCTGACTAGAGAGGACTCACGCAGGAGATGTTCAGAGAGGATTCACTGAGAACAAAAGTGTTTCTGAAGTGTTGGGGCAGGGGCCTACACCCTGAAATGGAAAATTAATGGGAAAGATGATAGACGTAGATCAAGCCAAACATCTGGATAGTTGAAAAGAGGAAGCTGAGCTGCCATGGCTGGTTCACAGTAGCCCTTACCTGCTGTGGGGAGCAGCCATGATGGGAGAGTCACAAGGTTTGAGGGACTGAACTAAAGCTGACAGAGTCTGCTTCCTGACCCTCAAACATGGGAAAACTGTGTTCCTGTGGGGAAGTCCCTCTTCCCCTGGACTCTGGCCAGAGAGAGGATAAATGATGACTGGTGCCTGGCTCTGCCAGGAATCAGCTTGATCATGCACCCGCCTGCCCACCAAACACCAGTGTGCCCACCCAGCCACCTGCCTGCCTAGTGCACCCTGCATGTCCCCCTGTGGAATTGTGTGTGGCTGCTCACAGTCTGACTGTAACTAAGACAGGAAACTGTGTGGACACTCAGGCTTTATGGCATAGTGCTCACGAGGGAATTGTGTGTTTGTTATCTTACTGGAGTGCTAGATCTGATTCCCTGTCAAATTTTTTTTGTTACTTTTCTTCACTTTGATTTAGTTGTTATTGTCGCTCTCTCTCTTCTCATCTCCCTATCCCTTTTCTTCAATTCTGGCTTCTGTAGCAAGACTACTTTTACATGTTTTTACTCATTTCTCATTTCTCCCACTTTTTCAAGTTTTTTCCCCTATATTCCCATCTTCTCTCATATTAACCTTCTGCCCTATCTTCTATTCTTTTTGCTGTTCCTTGTGTTACCTAGCTCCTTGTCTTCCCTTGCCTCTTTTCCTCCTTACAGATGTGCAAATACATCAACGGGTCCTGACAACCTGACAGCTTTCCTCAATCCTAAATTGCACTTCCTTCCTTGTACATCTCCTTAAAACTCTTAACATTAAGCCTTCACTCCAACTATAAAATATCCTTTAACGGAAACTGACCCCAATCTATTTTTTACCTATTATTTCTCCTATCTACCACTCCAGCCCTAACTTACACTTCTCTTTCACCCGTTCCTCTATCTCTCTCCTTCCACATCACAGATGAAATGCTAATAATATCATAGTATAGGCTGTGAAGGTTATTGATAAAGGATGAAAGTGTAAATGCAAGGTTTAACTTGTACAAGTGATATATGATCAGTTCTGTTGATGCTATTATAACCAATAGTAATTTTCTCATCACAACACAGAGAACATCCAAACCACTTAAATTAAATAGCAGGAGGGGTGAACAATATCTCTGGGCAAATAAAGTCATGAACATATGGCTAGAAGGGAGCCTCTAACTAAAATATCTTTATATTGGGTATAATCTGTCCTCACTCTACTTAATCTCAACCCTCAGCACAAAAATATGTCTACATGAACATGGGAGAAAAGGCAACAAAATGTTGAGGGGGCAGGGGTGGAGAGGAAAGCAATCACCAGGTAGCACAGCTTTATAAATTGATTAAAGAAGAGTAAAGAAGCTTGGCGAGAGCAAAGAGAAAATCACCCAAAAGTTTATGGAATTATGTATGGAATAACGTGAATATGGGAGAAACAAATAAAAAATTGGAAAAGCTGAACAAAATTGTTCAAAACCTGAATAACTAATTTGCCAAAGATTCAGATTCCACAAAAATGCATCAGGCAGAAATACTGGATATAAAAAATTGTATAATAAATTGCAGAAATGACAAATGAGAAGACAAGGTTTTCTGAAATTGAGGACAGAAAGGTAAGTTATGACAGAGAAGTTTTAAAAACAAAAGAACAACAAAAATTCATCCAACAAGTACTAGATGACACTAAGAAGACCAACTAAGGCTAATTAGAGTTAGAAACTGGAAGACAGCGTATGTGGTATAAAAAATTTGTTACAAAAATCATAATAGAGCCAGGTGTGGTGGTGCACACCTGTAATCCCAGCACTCGGGAGGCTGAGGCAGGACAATTGCCATGAATTTGAGGCCAGCCTGCACTACATAGTGAGACCCTGTTTCAAACAACAAAAGCAAACAAAAATCGTACTAGAAAACTTCACAAGTATGAGAAAAGATTTCAAAATACATTTAAGCAAGGCTTACAGAGCATCATCTACTGGTAACTAAAATGAAAAAAGAAGCTACTGAAAATACATCTTAGTTAAAATTCCAGATATCCAACAAAAAGGTAGAATCTTGAAAGTTGTCATAGAAAAAAAAAATCACATGTAAAGATAAACTCATTAGGATTGCAGCAGACTTCTCAACACAAACTTTGTAAGCCAGGAGAGCCTGGAGCGAAGCATTGCCCTAAATGCAAACAAATTTCAACCCAGACTAATATCTGGTAAAACTTTCTTTCAAAATAGATGTAGAAATAAGGATGTCCTATGAAAAAAGAACAACCTATGAGTTATATTAACACCAAACCAACACCCCAGAAAATACTCAGGAATGTACTATGTCGAGACAACAAAGTAACAAAGGCCAAAGTGCAGATAGAATGAATACATCTAGCAAGGCAAAGAGATAAATAACAAAAAAGAAAAAAAAACCAGAAAAAGAATGCAATGTTAGGAATAAATCAGCACCTTTCACTAATTATCATACAGATTAACTATCAGATTAATAGGCCAAAAAACATAAAACATGTATGCCAATTATACTAAGTCAAGGTACACTTTTAGATACATTGTCCCTGCTGTATTACAATAGCTTTTTGGGTCTATTTTTCCTGTTATCTGTTTTTTATTTTGTACTTTATATATTGTACTGTTTTTATATTTATATTTTGTACACTATATATTGAATTACTCATATGTGTGAAACCGTGTGATACTTAAGCTTGTGTGTCTAAATTACTTCACAACATTGTGCTTTCAAAGTGTATCCATCAAATGAAATTTCTAACTTTAGTTCTTTGAGAAATCTCTGTACTGATTTCCATAATAGTTGCACTAGGTTTCATAATTTTCATTTCTACCAGTGATGTAGGAGGGTCCCTTTTCCACCATAGTCTGCCAGCATCTGTTATTCTTGACTTCTTGATGATTGCTTTTCTTTCCCGTGTAAGATGACATCTCAGTATTGTTTTAATTTGCTTTTCTCTAATGGCCAGAGATGTTGAATTTTTTCATTTGTTTATTGGTCATTTGTACTACTTTTTTTAGAAGTGTCTTCATTTCACTTGCCCATTTTTTGATTGGGTCTTTTATTTTTGAGGGTCTAAGTTTTTGAGTTCTTTATATATTCTAGATATTAGTCCTCTGTCTGAGAAAGAGCTGGTAGAGGTTTTTCCTATCCTGTAGTAGTCTTTTTACTCTGTTGATTGTTTTGTTTTATGTGCATAAGCCTTTCAATTTAATGTA